GACTGAGCAACTTCGATCACTGGTACCAGCGGTTGAAATGGGCCTTTTCAGACCAATCGATGAACTCATGCGTCTCATCATGGTCCGGAGTACAGACGTCCGAGAGCGCTTTGTGTACAGAAACTGTTTCTCTAGACTGAGAAACCATATCTGCGATGGTCTGGGCAAGTATTGCGAAAGCTTATAGAAAGGAAAGAGGCAAAATAGTACTATTTCCTTAAGCGGTCAGATGACGACCCCGGGGACGAGACGACCCAAAAATACCTTGGAATAAGTGTATTGAAAGACACCTATCCAGATTTGGCTTTTTTCTGTCGGATCTCAAACGCTGCACAGGATTGGGGAGGATAGACACATTTTCTGACGCGTCTGCTTTTGCGAGTCTCTATCCTCAGTCTGGCAGCCATTCCTGAGAACTCGCTTTCCGTCATTTATCGTCATCAGCAAAGGTAGTCAATCTACGACTTCTCATGGACTAGATAACATCTGACTAACAGATGGTGAGTGCCTTTTTCTCGTAAACACTGAAAGCTGCAACCAAAACGAAAAGATTAACTGACGGCGATTGCGCTATGTGCGATCTGCAAAAAAGAATGACAGCATTCGTCAGCCCTTTCTGATGTACTTGAAAATCATACTCAGTGGCAAGACAAGAACGAGATGTCGAAGGGATAAGAAACTCTGTCACTTGTTTTCATGTACAAATCTCTTGATTTCGAACACTCACCAGGTGCTTCGACTGTTGAAAGCGCATGGCATGCATTCTGCCTTCCAATGGAACACCCGGCATGAACCTCTTTCTCGAATAAGGGATCATCATCTTGTGTAGCCTGCTTATTCATTAAAGCAAGCAGTAAAATGCAGTAAGTTATCCGCGATGGAAAAATTACTTCCAAATTACAAATATCTTCGATCATGAAAGTGGCAGAATAATTTATAACATATTTTAATTACATTCTGAGGCGTTGAATATTGTTCTTTTAAGCGGGAATTTCATGCAGATTTTATCAGAGAAATTACAGAAGCTTTAGACCATATTTGATTCGTTGTCAAGGAAAACTGATATACAGATGGCCTATAATCTCAAGATCAGATTTCACTGCTTGCTCCAAGTAGCTGAGTGGGTGAAGCAGTTAAGCATAGGCCACGGCTGCCTGATATTCGAACAGCTGCGGGGTTAGACACCTTCGATATATGACGAAGATGCCTCACGAAAGATGCACCTAAATCACTCCTTTGGCAAAGCCGTAGAGGAAACCGGGAACCTGACTGGTCAGTTATGCAAAAGACCTGTTGCGGCGCACTGGAATTCAAAGCAGTGAGGGTTGTAGCTGAACATGGATTTCAATCATAGGCTAAACCTCAAGAAGTGCTGTTCCAGAGACTGAAAAGTAATTATGCGCTTTTAAACTAAAGAATAAACTTATAAAGTGGATTTCACAGCGTATCAAATAGCTCTTATGTTGCCAGATATTTAAGCGAGGATTCAAAGAGGCCATCCTGCGGAGTTCGTCGGCCTTTGTAATGCATACGGACATCTCGAATCGCTTTATTAGCTAAAGCATAACGTTAGCATAACGTTATTATATCATCAGTAATGTGCAAGGTGCCGGTCATTCATTGTGCACCTGTGGAAATGTCATAATTACTGCTCCTGAACCATACTTTTATTAATGAGCATGATTTCATCCACTGCCTTCACGAGGTTATGGAATCATCCAAATGATTTTAAATATCTCAAGGAACTTCAGCCCACATGAATGTCATGGTTCCAGCAAGAGCTGTGCTCTTATGATTCTCGAATGATATATAAAAAATGCATACTTTCAGTGTGCTGCTCCCTCTCAAAATTGAGAGATCACAGTTGGAATGATCTTGGCAAATTATCAGAAATCTCAGGAAGAAACTCACAAAAGGACTCTCCTGACAAGTTCACATGTAAGACAAAAAGAGAGAAATCGAGGAATATATCGCTCCAGTATGTCGAGGTCATGATTTTGAACTTCCCACCCAAGTCTGGCAGCTTATTCTATTAAAAAATGAGTGCAGTTAGTGGAGAAACTTGCCTCACGACGCTTACCGTGAAATCATATATAAATGGCGCTGTGAGTAAAGGATTCAGCAAGTATATTTAAGAAAATTAGCTAGATGTGTACTCCGGACGCCTACCAATTCAAGCATAGCACCGAATCGTACGTATACTGTGGAAAGGTTCACATGCATGTGGTCATAAGATCGTTAGAAATCCAGAAGGATGGCCTATTCGGACAAAACAGAGCCACCATGTTCCGGAATAACCAAAGTAGAGTAGTTATTCAGTTGAGCCGGTAGCTATATGCTTAAATATTTGTCAAAGGAATTCACGCACCTTTGGTGACCTTTTACGCAGGCTACAAATCCATGATATTTGGGCATATGCCGGGCATTGGATGCAGGAGTGTATCTCTAAGTTGAGCTGAAAAAGAGCTCGTTCCAGCATCAACTAAATCTGCCACACTCCTAGCAAATATATAGATGAAACAACTTTGACAGTATCATTATCGGCGAAGTTGAGCGCTACCTTAGAGAAGATATCCCTCAACATCGGAGCTATTTTTTGTTTACATATTTAAAAATAAACACCGATCTAATTGTTTCACCAGCATGCTGAGAGTTTTCGATTATTGCCGTTAAGAAAAATAATATTTTTGTTTTACTACCACATTTACAAGGCGTTCAGGCTCGGTCCTCTTACTTCTAGAGGCTTAGGGTACCACTTAAGCAGGCCACGGGTCCATAGTATTTGAGCACCTGCGGTGCCTGGATGCACAACCGGTAGTGTAAAACAAGTTGTTTTTCGTAACGGTGGTATCGAAAACTAGCAGCATTTCGGTAAACTGAGATCGGTGTTTATTTTTATGTAGAAATATGCCGGCCGATCGCGGCATATCTGCAGCTGTCCTAGCAGAATTTTGTTCGGCATTGACCTGTGATGCGCCCATGCACTGCGGGTACTCAAATATAATAGGACTGTGGCTTGTTTAAATGACTCCCTAGGTCACTAGAAGCAAGGGACAGTGCCTGCACTCCATGTAAATCCGGTAGTAAAAGAAAAATGTTGTTCTGTCTATATTGTTGCCTAAAATTAGTGGCAGATTTAGTCGGTGCTCGAACGCGCCCTTGTTTAGCTCAACTCAGAGCTGCGGTCTTTCATCCAGTGCACTGTAGGGGTTCAAATGTCATGGAGCCATATACTCGTAAGTGACCCCTCAGGTCATTAGAAGAGAGGTACCACTGAACTCATGTTCAATAGATCCGGCATCCAGAAACTAAAATGTTACGTCGTACTATACAGCTTTTTCCTCGTATCCAGGTTATCTGCATGCCATAATGATGGTACTGACAAAGCGTTGCATTTTACTGTAATTTTTAATCACTAATAGTCAACGATTGACAAATCGATAAATCTAAGGCATTAATAATTGACCCATTTATTTTTGTTTATTATATTGACAATTTCATATTAAGTTTCTGCATCAAAGCCCTTGTTTCCCGAAATATGGCGGCGCACTGCCTCGCCTAGACGGTTAGGAAGCCGTTAATGCCATCGGCAAAATGTAGACTAACTTGATACCTAATTGATTTTGAGCATATCGCATCGTCTTACTGACTGCAGCAAACAACTGCAAGATTTTAACGTGTTTTTCTCGAATGTTTGGTACTGTTAGCATGCGATAAAGATTAAAAATGAAAACAACACACAAAACGGTTTTCTTACACATAATACAGTAGTCG